CCCCAAAACCCCAAAACCCCAAAACCCCAAAACCCCAAAACCCCAAAACCCCAAAACCCCAAAACCCCTGACTTCATAAATCATATTGAAATTCTTATTCTTTTATAACTCAGCATTATCATCTCTTTCAAGGTCCTCAAGATCTTCATCAAGATCATCATCCAGGACTTCTCTTTCACCTTCTTCCTTATCATCGCTTGAGAAACTGTCTAGTCTTCTATTAGCTTCTTTGACATCAACATGGGCAGCCTCAATAATGAAGTCGTGCTCACTGCTAATAGGAGAATCAAGCTCCTGCTGAATCTCTTCTTCGTAGTCAGGGAGATAGATCTTAGGCTTTCTCTTCGGTCACTTTATCTTACAGAATCTAGGCAAAGAGAGTAAGAAGATTATGTAAGAGACAACCACCCATATAGCAATATCGATGACGGTAATCCTTGCGTACATGTAAAACTCCCAATCTGTTAGGTGAGGGTCAAAGTAGTTGAAGTACATAGAGGTTATCAGCATTTCGTTGAGCTCGTTATATATCATATGGATGTTAGTCAATCTGTGACTGAACGGCCTAGCGTAAATCAAATACATTAGTGGAAAGAATATCACAAATACAGCAGTAATGTTGTAAGGAACAAGCCCCCAATCATGTGCAAAGGCGAAAGTGAAGGCAAATATGGTCTTTTTAAGCAGATAGACAAGGTAGTACATGTATTTTGAAATATGTGAAGTATCTATGTCTCTGAGAAGCCCTTTGCAGAACCATTTTGATTTAGCTTTTGGTCCTAAAGTTTTAAAATAAAGAAGCAGAATAGCCATTAATGCATACAAAACTAAGAAAGTTATGAAGATAATATTTGATAATGCAGTTGCAGTTGCATAAATCTTAGGTGAGCCCTGGGGATGTCTGATGTTCAAAAGTCAGCAAGTCATTACATGTTGATACACCAAGATAAATCCTTTAACAGTGATTTCCCATCTGAAACGCTTCTCATAGCTTGCAATAAGAGAGTTGTTAAGACATAAAATTCTGAGAAGGAAGACAGCAACACAAGCTATTAATGCAATTACCCAGATAAATATAACCTCAACTGCATTATAAAGCATGTTATATCTGACAAAATTTTGCCTTTCAAATCTATAATTAGTGGAACCATCTTTCACTAAATCTTCTGGCTTTGTTCCGAGAACGAATTCTTGAATATTGAACCACTCCATTTTCCCAATAGTCACTTGAAAATCTTGGAAGAATCGAGAAAGACATGATGGAGGGTAATTATGCATCATTGGATAATAAATGATCATTTGTAATGACATTGTAATTCCAATTGTATGCCAAAGACTAGCTCCAAGTAAGAAGAAAGAGAAATTATTGATCACCAATGAAATATAAAGCCAATATGCAACCTTCCACCATCCTTCCATCCCTCATGATCGATCATTCTCTGTAGGATGTTCTAATTTAGCATATGCTTTATTATTAATCAACACGAAGCCATACTGATTATGTGTAACTCTTCGTCTATCAGTAATAGTTATCGTAATATTCTCGACTCCATCACCTAAGAACTGTATATGCGGCGAATAAGCTATATCAATGTTCCACACTTTAGAGTGATTTGGAGCCATTAGAGCAGTTGTCTTGTTCCTCAGAGAAAAATATCTTGTAAGATAATAGTTTTGCTCAGTCCTTGGCCCATGAATCTCAATCTTTATATCAGTGAAATCATTCCAATCCGTAGGTATTTCCACAGAAGCATTGAAATAAAGAGATACCATGGACTCATTATTTATCTCATACCCCACAATCGCAGGATTATTATGCCAATGCCAGCATTCATCGTGCCAATCTCTTGTTCCGTACTGACAATCCCATCCAGGTTCAATATTTCAGGTTGCATCACATCCATCTCCATTGACTAGATTACCATCATCTCAAGGATAATTGAACAAGTCAATACCATCTCCACATATCTCAGTTCAAGTATCTGCAGATGCGGCTGTACCCCCTGTACAAGTATATCCTAATTCTATAACACAAGAGTCGTCTCATCCATCACCATTAACAAGATTGCCATCATCTCAATCATAGAATCCTATATCTAGACCATCTCCTCAAATTTCATATCAATAGTCAGCTCTCCAGAAGTTACCTCCATCACAGGTGTAGCCAGCTTCTACTACTCAGACATCTGAACAGCCATCCCCGGGATTATTGTTTCCATCATCACATACTTCAGCACAAACTCTGAGCCCGTCACCTCATTCTGTCCAGCATCTGTCCGGATTGATGGGAGTGCCTGCGTTACAGAGATACCCTGGTAGGATATTTCCATCCCTGTCTCAGCCATCACAATTAGGAGACTTGTTTCCGTCATCACATGCAAACCAGCCATAGTCTCTTCCATCTCCATTGATCTCAAAGCAATCATCCGGATTGCTGGAGGTTCCTCCGCCTCATTGGAAGTCAGCATCAACAGTGCATGTTTCAGATCATCCGTCTAAGTAAAGAGTGTTGTTGTCATCTCATCCAAGTGTTCCGAAATCGTAGCCATCACCACAGACTTCAGTGCAGACATTAGGAGATGCAGTGTTTCAAGTCCAGCCTGGTGAGAGTTGGCATGTGTTCTCTCAGCCATCGTTGGACAATAAGTTTCCATCATCTCATGCTTCTCCAGCCTCGAGTACTCCGTCTCCTCAGTGATAAGTGTTAGCACAAACTGAAGGGGCTCCAGCACAAGTGTATCCAGTATCAATATTACAATTTGTGCATCCATCACTGATAACAGCATTTCCATCATCGCAAGCTTCTCCTGCGTCAATGGCTCCATTTCCGCACTGGCATAGTACTTTGCTAATGATCATTACTAGGGCCAAGGCCCCGATCTCTGTTAGTCGTCTATAGGGTTTAGGGTAGCAATTGAAGTGGGCCTGAACAGGCTGGTGCGAAGGAAACAATCTTACCATATGAACTTCATCTTTATACAATGAGGTGGGAAGAAGATAATAATTTTATAAGATTTTAATAAAAATTTCAATTTTGGAACTGTATTTGGGGTTTTGGGGTTTTGGGGTTTTGGGG